ACTTTTACTCAATTATTAAACTAATAATGGAAACTATAAATTAAAAAAATATTATTAAAAAAAATAATAAATTCAAATTTTTTAAATAAAACACTTTCTAGGGTTCGTGACCATAAACAAGATAAACTCGAGCAGATCAGAGATGCACACCTGCACTCTAAATTTCCACAGCATTCCCACTGGGACTCCAGGAACGGGGCCGTGATGGTTGGAGGGAACGATGGTGCACTGTTTAGTGCGGCCGACACACGCCATACCCTGCCAAATGAGACAGCAGGCTCATAAACACTTCATCTGAACCAATCCCACCTCTGTTTGCGCATGCGTCCGTCTGAAACGCACCTTCCCCCAGTCCCTCTGACTGGACGAGCTCGCAGACGCCATCTTGGCCTTCTTCTTGCTTTCCTTCAGCTTCTCTCCAGCCAGAACCACCTCGCTGGCATCGTTACGGCATTCAGGACAATACCTGCGAAAAAAACAATTATAGTGGAATCGACACGTTTCAAATTTTATTTTTTATTTTTTTTTATTTGCTCATCGACAATTTGCGCAATGGTTTCATGAGCAATTAACGCAAATTTGTTTCACTAACTGAAGGCAAAAACTTAATATAATGTAGTTTTACAAACATTTTACATATTAATTTTGCCAGAAGGTTGTTGGTTCAAATCCCTCAAGAGTCGATTTATTGTAGCTTTGAATTAAAGTATTAGATAAATGACGAGTAATTAGTGGAGAAATCGTCACAAGAATGGTTTTATGAACACTTACACAAATTTCATCAATTTACAAATGACAGAGATTGTTACACCAAACTATGTAATTGTTTTAAATACTTTTAATATTTAAATATTGTATAAACAAAATTGTATGCAAATGTTAACCATTAACTTTTTTCTTCATTATACAATTAAATTAAGTTTGTAGATAAATTTGAGACAAACTTTGCGAACATGAAAATAGAGCTAAAGCTAACAAGTTTTTTGATTTTGGCAGAAGGTTTTTGGTTCAAATCCCTCAAGAGTCAATTTTTTTGTTGCTTTGGAGGAATGTATTAGATAAATGAGTGATTAATTGGTTACGGAGAAATTGTTTACCAGTCCTTGTCGCAAGAATGGTTTTATGAACACTGAGCAATTTACACAAATTTAACAATTTGCAAATTATTTTAGAATTTAGTTTAACAAATCTATGTAATTATTTTAAATATCTTTAATATATTTAAATATTGTATAAACAACTGTATGATAAGAGTTAGTTAACTAATGAATTTTCTTCATTATACAATTAAAATATTTACGTTTGTAGACAAATTTACAAGACAAACTTTAAGCATGAAACCACAGTTAAAGCTAACAAGTTGGATGTTGACAAGGTTGTTGTTTCAAAACCCTTAAGAGTATTTATTGTTGCTTTGAATGAACATATTAGATAAAAGATGAGTCATTAGTGATGCAGAACTTAATTACTAGTCCTTGTTGCGAGAATGTTTTACACTTTGTACATTCCATTTATTCCATTTTAGAGCCAAGTGTAACAAATCTATGTAATTGAGATCTTTATTTTTAAACACTGCATAAACAAAACTTTATGATCAAAGTGGACTACAGTGAACTTTCTCTTCATTATACAATTTAAATATTTAAGTTTGTAGCTAAATTTAAGAGAATTTTTTTTTGACGTCACCAGAAGGTTGTTGGTTCAAATCCCTCAAGAGTCGATTTGTTGCTGCTTTGGAAGAACGTATTAAACGAGCAATTAGTGACGGAGAACTAATTTACCAGTCTTCGTCACAAGAACGGTTTTACGAACAGTTTACGAGCGATTTACACAAATTCAGCAATTTTAGAGATTGTTACACTAAGCTACGTAATTGTTTTAAATATCTTTCATATATTTGAATCTTGTATAAACAAGTTTGTATGGAAAATGTTAACTATAAACTTTCTTCATTATACAATTAAAATACTTAAGTTCGTAGATAAATTTGAGAAACTTTGTGAGTTTTTTGACATCACCAGAAGGTTATTGGTTCAAATCCCTCAAGAGTCGATTTGTTGCTGCTTTGGAAGAACGTATTAAATTAATAATTAGTGAAGGAGAACTAATTTACCAGTCTTCGTTTCAAGAATGGTTTTACGAACAGTTTACGAGCGATTTACAAATTCAGCAATTTTAGAGATTGTTACACTAAACTACGTAATTGTTTTAAATATCTTTAACATTTAAATCTTGAATAAACAAATTTGTATGGAAATTATCAAACTTTCTTCATTATACAATTAAAATACTTAAGTTCGTAGATAAATTTGAGACAAACTTTGTGAGTTTTTTGACGTCACCAGAAGGTTGTTGGTTCATATCCTTCAAGAGTCAATTTATTGTTACTTTGGAAGAACGTATTAAACGAGCAATTAGTGACGGAGAACTAATTTACCAGACTTCGTCACAAGAACGGTTTTACGAACAGTTTACGAGCGATTTACACAAATTCAGCAATTTACAAATAATATTAGCGATTGTTACACTAAGCTACGTAATTGTTTTAAATATCTTTAACATATTTAAATCTTGTATAAACAAGTTTGTATGGAAGATGTTAACTATAAACTTCCTTCATTATACAATTAAAATACTGAAGTTCATAGATAAATTTGAGACAAACTTTGTGAGTTTTTTGACGTCACCAGAAGGTTGTTGGTTCAAATCCCTCAAGATTAAATTTTTTGTTCTTATTTTATTTATTTATTGTTACAAATTCAGCAATTTTAGAGATTGTTACACTAAGCTATGTTATTGTTTTAAATATCTTTAACGTATTTAAATCTTGTATAAACAAATTTGTATGAAAAATGTTAACTATAACAAACTTTCTTCATTATACAATTAAAATACTTAAGTTCGTAGATAAATTTGAGACAAACTTTGCGAGTTTTTTGACTTCACCAGAAGGTTGAGTTTGAGTTGATTTGTCGCTGCTTTGGACAAAACTATTAGATTAACTCGTATACCAGTCCTCGTCCTCAGGGATGGTGGTGAGCGGTGGGTTCAGGCAGTAGGTGTGAAAAGCCATGTCGCATTCGTCGCACAGCAGCTGTTTGTCGGGATCCTGCTTCACGCCGCAAACGTGACAGTTGCACATGCGGCAGTTCTTCTTCGGGTCGTCTTTGCAGACCTTGCACTCGGGTCCGTTCGACCCTGATTTGACAGAAACGAGGCACCTTATAGTTTGCGCTCAACATACTGCGTCCGAATACCGCAAAATTGAAATGTAGGTTCGAAACGACACAAAGTCAGACTCACTCTTGAGAGGGCTGTCAGAAGAGGCTCCTGGACCCTCCGAACTTCCCGGCTCCTCGATCTTGTAGATTTCGGTTACGAACATGATGCGACAGTCGTTGAGAGAATCGCCAGCATCTCTGTAGAAAGTGTGGACAAACATTGCAAACGAAAAAAAATTAATAAAAATGAACAGCAAGACATTTATAGTGGAACCAATGCAATTTTAAATATCCAATTTGTTCAACAGCAATTAGCACACTGGTTTCACAAGGAATTAGTGCAAATTTGTTCTGCTGAAGGTAACAACTTCTATAAAAAGTGGCTTTACAAACATTTTACATATTCATTCTTGCATAAAAAATGTTTTTCAAATACTTTGAGGGATGTACACAAATCTACAAATGATTGTAGAGCTTAATGTAACAATTTTGTAATATTTATTATACAAACAACTTAAATTAAAAACAATTTTAAATTTTAGACAAAATAAAATTTCTACATTTATTACAAACTTCGTGAACAAGCCAACAGAAAGAAAAAGACCATCAAGACGTCTATAATGGAATAGACACCATTTTAATAGGATTTAATGAGCATTTAATGCAAAACTCGTTTTGCTAACTGAATGCAACATATTGCGTAAAAAGTAGTTCGACATTTTACGTTCCTGCATAAGAACCGTTTTATGAACACTTTGAGAGGTTTACCAATGAATTTATAGTCGTGTAACAAACGCTATAATTGTTTTAAATATATTTATATATTTTTAAATGTGATTTTACTTGTATAATAAAACGTTTGTTATAACTACAATATTTTAGTTATATATAGCTACAATTAATATTATAATTAAACTTTGTTCATTATTCAATTAAAATCATTAAGTTTGCAGAGAACACAAAATATATAAGAAACGTGAGCAAATCAACAGAAAGAAAAAAATGAAAGCAAGGCAATTTTCATGAGAAATTAATGCAAATTTGTTCTGCTAACTGAAAGTGACGCCTTATGTAAAAAGATTTGTGTTTTGATGTTTGATAAACATTCCTTTTCGCGTTTACACTTTACAAGAGATTTAAACATTTGATAATTTACAAATAATTTTAAAGCCTAAACCACACTATAATTGTTTTAAATCTCTCGAAACATGCATTTTAATTGCATAGTAAAACTTCATAATTAAGTTCATAATTAACTACACATTTAAAATCATTACGTTTGTAAATAATTCAAATATGATAAACTCATATTAGACCAATAAAAGAAAATGGTCAGCAAGACATTTATAGTGGAATAGACCATTTTTAATTACATTTCCTCATCGAACAAGACAATTTCCTTAAGAATGAGCAATTAATGCAAATACGTTCTGCTAACTGAACACGACTACATAAGTAAAATGTTGGTCAAACCACACTTCATGCATTTGTTCTTGCGCAAGCTTGGCTTAAGGAAGTGCAAAAGATGCCATTTCAAAGAATCTTGGAAACCAAAGAGTTGATGGTAGCTTTTGACTTCCATAGTATTTTTTCCATACTATGGAAGTCAATGACTACCGTTAACTGTTTGGTTACCATATAAAGTCTCAAAATATTTTCTTTTGTGTTCAACAGAATAAAGAAGCTCATTTGGAACAAGTGGAGGATGAGTAAATGGTGAACTATCCTTTTAACCCTAAAAATGGCAAGACCATAAAGAGACATCAGAAAATTTATGTATTGCTATTTTCCATCTTATTGGGACACAAATAATACAACTTGATAATTTTTTTTCAAAACTTTTAATTTTTATTTTAATGTTTGTATCCCACAGGATACGTTGCCAGTTTGGGGTATAAATTAACTGAAAACAGACCACTTGTTTATCAATGCTTGTTACAACATGGTTGTAATTCCTGAACACTTTGGAATACAGAACTACGGTTGGTCTCTTTTTAAAGAAGAAACATAGCAGATTAGGGATGCACCGAAATGAAAATTCTTGGCCGAAGCCGAACAAAATGAAACACTGGGCCGAAGGCCGAATACCGAACACGGTTTTTCACGTTTTTCCCCCCATTTTGCCAATTGTTTCACCATTGCATAAATTAAATAGCCAAAATGTGCTTTTTACTGTTTTGTCTTGCTTTTCAAAGAAAAAATCATTTACAAAACAACAATTTAAAAATATTTACTTAACACCGAACATTTTTTACATTCTAGCAGACATTATACCAATAAAACACAACTTAACTTAAAATTAATAAGTTAGTAAAATTATATTTTTTGGCCATTTTTCAGACCCCCTTCTTGAATCAGGCATGTATTTTTGCCTTACAAATAAATGCAGCCTTGCTGAGCAGAAGAGACTTCTTTTAAAACATTAGAAAATATTATAGATCCTAGTCTGAACTCTATGTGTAAATGTTACAATAAATGTTTTAATAGAGCTGTTGTAATTATTATTTTCATGATTATTTTCTTTTACAGAACAACAGTAAAATTACAATAATAACATTTATTAATGTTGACGGAGTTCTTGCTTTTTCTCAACTTTTATTTTGGCAGAAACCCGCAGGAAGACCTCAGTGCTTCTTTTTGTTGACAAATGATTCTCGTTACAAATTTGGGAAGACGTTTGTTGCACGTATCGCATTGTCACATGCCTTGTAAAAATTCATAAAAATGTTACCGAGCAGCTGACGAGTAACAGTTTCAGCGCAGATTTCCCTCGCGCTTTGGACTTTGAACCCTGGCGCCGCGAGCTCGTGCAGCGCTGTTTGAACACATGCAATTCCTGCATGTATTAGAAAACATAACATTCTGCAGTTTATTTAAATGATTGATTTCAATCATCATACAGTAACCAGCAACAATCACCTCTTCCTCTTCTCATCGAAGACATGTGATGCAGTACTAAACAGTCTCTCGCTGTCAGTGCTTGTAATGATTTTTGCGTCTTTCTTGCTTCATGCTTGTAATGATTTCTGCGTCTTTCTCTGATTGTTTTAAATACTTTCACACTGCCGACATGTTTGCTGCATTAGTGCGTGCCTCTATTTGATCGCGTCACGTCATTGTTCGGTACAATTTATTCGGTCTTTTCGCTTATTCGCTTTTTGCTATTTTCGGCCGAATAATTTCGGTTGCCTAACATTCGGTGCATCCCTATAGCAGATTATTGCTGAAGTGAAAGCATTTCAAAAAAAGAAAGTATAAAAAAAGTTATAGACGTTTAAGTTTGCAGGAAAGATAATGCAGTATACTATTTTTCTTTTTATTTTATATAAAATAAACACTTTATAAAATGTTGCACTTCAAATTGCTATAAAATCTAAGCCATATGTCT